AAAACGAGAAGCTCATTGGCGACCCGCTGATGGACAGGGCGAAGCATCAGAGATCATACCGAACGCAATTTCAGGAGACATCGATGAGATTATTGCCAATGGTATTTACCCATCTGGCGATATGAAACGTGGGATTTTGCTGGACCATCTTGTGGTTGCGAGCGACTCTCTGTTCAACCTTGTGGTTGTAGACCCTCGAGGGGGTTACTTCGGACAAGGAGACGTGCTCGTGGCGACTAAGCTCACGCTCATGCGCAAGCCGTCTTGCGCAATCAAGCTCAGGAAGATCGGAGTCAATAAGAACAAGAACAAGGACCAAATGCACACGTTGTTGGCGCATCGCATCCCAGCGATGCTGTCGCACGTGCGCCTCAAGTTTGCCGCTTGGATGAAGATTGTATCTAAATATGGCCGCACGGCTGCTACGGAGGAGCCTCGCGTGGCTGGGCGCCCGCACCAGCCCCAGAAGTTGTGCGCAGTCATGGAGGAGTGCGCGGCGCCAACGACGCCACCGACTGGGGATGAGAAGAAATTGCGCAGCCCGTTCCCAGCGTTCAGGACTCCGACGCCCAAGAGAGCAGCGACGCCAGCGTCTGCGAGATCGAGCCCGCTGTCGGCGTCAGGTGCTGCTGCTACTCCTTCGCGCGTCTCGATCGTGGACAGCGGCCCACGCCGCGCGATGGCGTCGCCAGTCAGCCCCCCGCCCATCGACCAGCCCGAGGCGTTTCATATTTCCGACGAGGGCGATCGGGCCGTCATCGACGTTGTCCTTGAGGGCGGGTTGATGACGAGGCTCATGGAGGATGGCGAACGCATTCCCTGCGTCTCGCAGGCACGAGGCGACAACGGCTTCGTGATCGCCGCCTGGGAGAGCGGCGACGAGCTCGAGACCGAGATCTTGAACAACCGCCTGGGCGATGATGGGATCATCAGCGACGTGAAGCCGTTGCCGCTACAGCTCAACAAGAGCGACAAGAACAAGAAGAGACCGTTGGAGGACGACGACACCGTCAGGAAGCGGCCATCTGGGCAGATGCGAAAGCCCGCAGCTGCTGCGATGATGAAGCCTTCAGCTGCGCCGATGCCGAGGCCCGCCGCAGCTGATGTGGTCCCAGTTCCAGCACCAGCAGCTGATGTGGTCCCAGTTCCGGCACCAGCAGCTGATGAGGTCCCAGTTCCAGCACCAGCAGCTGATGTGATCCCGCTCGATGAGTTGGGTACGTGGCGAGAGCATGCTGACCCGCTGCCTGAGCCTGCGCATCCTCTTGCGGCGCCTCTGGACCATTACTGCATGGACCTGCGCCTGAGGAACGGCCATCAGGGTAGTATAACGGTTATCGTGTGCACGGCGGCTGCTGATAAGAAGCAGGTGCTTCAGTGCTACCCGCACGAGCACAGAGACCCGAAGTATGTCTGCGAGGAGGTAGTCAAGAAGCTCTTGCCATTTGTCCAGAACACGCATGTGCCCTCACGCAAGTTGTCTAGCCTCCCAGATACGTTCTTTGAGGACCTCCGCGCGCGATGCCGCGAGGCTAAAGATGCCCTCATTGGCTAGCGCGGCTTCTGCTGTCAAACAATACAATCATCTTTCATCGTTATCGCCATCATCATCATCATAACCACCATCATCACCATCATCATCATCAGCATCACCATCATCAGCTTCAGCATCATCGTCAACATCATCATCAAAGTCATCAACAACATTATCATCACCGCCATCGTCATCACCACCCTCATCACCATCCAATACCTTCCGTGGCAAACCCTTGCCCCGTCCCCACATCCTCGGGCACGCAGTCGGCGTCGTCCAAGTTGCAATTCTTCCAAATTGCCTCCGCGAGAGTAAGGGGGGAGGTGAACACGGAGAGATCAACATGTCCCATCAATTTCCCACCTTCCCCCACCCTTCATCAGTATTCCTCCCACCGCACTCCCGCATCCCCATCCACTCGAACCTCGCTCATCCCCCCCCCCCCTCTCTCCCCTGCAATCCCCCATCTCCCTTCCCACCCCAAACTCCTTCCCACCACCCCACTTTCACCAATCCTCCCCCGCCCCCCCCCCTCCCCCCACATCCTCCGATCGGGTAGCCCTTTTTGGGCGGTGGAAAGGTGGCGCGATGTTCGCAGTGATTGCGTTTCTCCGCCAACGGCATCAGGGGTCTTCCGAGGCTCGATCGCGGCCCCGTCGGGCCCGCCCTTTTTGCATTGCACTCCTTTTGTGCAGCTGGCCTCCCCCATCGCACCCATTGACGTCGCTCGTTCGGTCTGCCGCCTGCCGCGCCGCCAGGCTAACATCATGATGAGGCGGCTGATCTACCTATCGGTTGTGTGCTGCATCAGGGGCGCGCACTGGGTCATGATGAGCCCCTCGGAGAGCCAGGTCTGGAGCTTCCCTTTGTTGACGAATCTGGCCAACTATTCTCGAGCCAGGGCATGTGACGCATCGCTGTCAGCGTTTGACGCTGTGTCTCAGCGGGGGCCACAACTCCGCCTCATGGGATCGCCTTGGTGGGTCGCACTTCTGGGTTGTCCGCCAGCAGCTGTTCGCGCAGAGCCAGGGCAGTGTAGCTCGACGGCTGTGGCGATGAAGATGTGCCAGGGATTCAATTACTACGCAGCCCCCCCTACTAAATCCTACATCCCACCCATGCGTACACACGCGCCCCACACACCCACAGGCTTCGTGCACCAGAGAATGGTCCCACATCAGCAGTACTTGTTTAATAGCACCTAGCAGGCACCTCCTGAATCGTTGGGCCACTATGTGCATGCACAGATCAACCCCCCAAGGTTCTACCTCAAGCTGGTGCGGACCTTCAAGATGCACGTTGACACGCCAGCCTCCAGTTGTGCTGCTTGGACTCCTATATTCTCGGAGCTGCAGAGCACCAACGACTTCGAGAGAGGCGAGGGCTGGCTGTCCGTAGACGTCAAGGCGTCTCGACAACACGTCGCCCAGCCCGACGAGGAGCAGTCGATGACACGTGGGGCATCCTCGGCACATGAACCTGCAACTCAGCAAATCGAGAGTTCGTCTCGATATGACTGCCACTTGGGCGACAAGGAAGCTGCGCGTCGCGAGCAAGCGCGTGCACGACTGCAGGCTGCGAGCGCAGGAGGTAGCGACCCTGTGTCGATGCTCAGCGACACGGACCCTTCGAGTTCAAGCGAATTGGACATGCTCGGGGCGCTACCCGCTGAAGATGATGGCAGCGCAGCAGCAGGGAGCTCCGCGAAGAAGGTCTCGGTCAAACCCAACATCAAGAAGCGAGTGCCACGTCGCCGCGGCAAGGGCAAGCAGAAGGAGCGCACCAAGAAGAGGAACCTGAAGGCTGCCACTCCGTCGCCCGTGAAGCAGGTCGCCCAGTACCTGAAGGGCGAGAGCCTCGCCAAGAAGATCGCCGAGGCCGATGGCGTCGACTTCGACTCCGACGACGCGGCCTTGATCGACCTGCCTGGACAATCCTCTGGTTCTCGCGTCGAGGCGCCTGCAGCGCCCGATCCCTTGAGCCAGTTGTCGGGCACCGACGGCGACGGCGAGGGCCCCTGCCCTTTTCCAGCTTTCAGGTAGAATCCTGGAGGCAGTGCCTACGCCGCTGCGTCTGCAGCGCACTTCGACCGTGGGAAGTGCCAGGCGGGCGTCTTGCGCAACGCCTCGATTTCTCTCGTATCCGAATTTCCTCAGTCATCGTCGCTCTTTTCTGCCCCATCCCCACTCCTCCTTCTACCCCTCCTTGCCTTCTCCTCCCCCACCTCTCCCACTCCCCCCCTTCCCCACTCCTTCTTCTAACCCTCCCTCCCTCCTCCTCGCGCCTCGCCCTTTTCCCTCCTCTCCTGGTCTCCCCCTCCTTGCCCCCCTTTCCCACACCTTCGGCGTCTCGTGGTTCCCCAGGGCTCGGAACGGGCCCGCAGAAGACGTTCCACTGAGAAAATCACTCCCCGACGTTGTTGTCGTCATGTTGATTGACAAAGGATGTAGATTGTGCAGAACGTTCGACCGATAAATTCGGCTTCTGTCGCCGTTCTCGTCCTGCAAGCGTCCGAGAGCCCAGGCTGGGCGCGGGCGTCATCGCCAGCGTCGTCGCCGTCGCCCCTCAGCCCCTCCCATCTCCACCCTTCCGAGCGCTCGAGAGCCCAAGCTGTGCCAGATAATCTGTAATTTTTCTGTAGCCTGTAATTTTTCTGTAATCTGTAATCTGTAATTTTCATGTTATGGATAAAAGTCAATAAAAACCAATGGTTTTTCAATGATTTTCAATAGTTTTCATATTATAGAAAACGTTGGAAATTACAGATTACAGAAAAATTACAGATTCGTGCCGGCTGCGAGAACCCCATCTGGGGACGGAGACGAGCCGCGTCGGGCCCTGAAAGGGCTCGAGGAAATCCGCATCTGACCTCTGAGGGCCCGAGGGCCGGCCCGAGGGAACCCACAGCGCGAAATCCTTGCGAAAGATGAAGTCGAGAGCTCCTGCACTGATCGTTTCTGATTGCATGATTCGTGGGGCCGCAGTCCGCGTCGGCGTTGCCTCTGCCGCTTACACGGCCCAGGTGCTTCGGCTCGCGCCCGCGAGCCCGTCGCGCTCTCGCGGGCCCTCGCCCCGCTCGAGACGCACTGGCGAAGAGATTCGCCCTCTGTCTATCAGTGCCCTCCTCCCTCGATCTCTCATTCCCGAGTCCTCCTCCTCTTCCTGCCGCTCCTCCTTCTCCACCTTCCGTCTTCATCCTTCTTCTCAGCCTACACCTCCTCCCGCGCTACCCTCCTGGCTCTCGTCGACCCTTCCTTCCTCTTCCTGCCCGCGCCCACCGCCTCCTGAACGCTCCTGACAGAGGGCGTCTGCTTCTTCTGGGCGTATTTCGCCAATCAGAGCCATGGCTCCGAAGCTGCGCACCCGCTCGGCGGTGGGCGACGACAGATCGGCAGCGGACAAGACGCCCAAGGCGAGGAAGGGCGGCGGCGAGGGCGACGGCAGCGGCAAGAAGCGCCCCGCCAACATGAGCACCGAGAAGGAGACCAACGCCAAGAAGGCCAAGGGTAAGAAGGTCAAGCAGGAGGTCGAGGAGCCCATGGCCGCGGTGGTCAAGACAGAGATTGCTGCGGACGTGAAGCCCGCTAAGGAGCCCGTTGCCGACGCTGGAGTGAATGAGGGGGACCTCGCCGCGCTGAAGAAGCTCAAGGAGCCGAAGTCCGTGAAGGTCGCCAGGCAGCAGCTCGCGGAGAAGCAGGTGGACCTCTCAAGCTTGACGGCTGAGCAGTTGAAGGAGCAGCTCCCGCAGAGCACCCTCAAGCAGCTCTACAGCTGCCTGTCTTCGACCCTGAAGACGCACGCGCCCTCCTTGCACGAGAAGTACCTGGCAGCCATGAGCGACGCCGAGCGTCGCTTGTGGCTCACGCGCTTCATCATCGACCCGAACAGCGGCGGCTGCAGTGGCTCGACCAAGACGACGGTCTTGGGCAGCCTAAGACCTAACCCATCCTCCTCCCCCTCCTTGGCCCAGGAGGGCCCGAGCAGCAGGAGCAGTAGCAGTAGTAGCATCAGCAGGAGGCGAGGGGAGGAGGGGGAGAAGGAGGAGGAGCAGGAGGAGGACGACGACCAATAGCAGGATGATCAGGAGCAGAACGTGGCCCTTGGGGTCCAAGTGCTGTTCTAGAACAGCTCGGGCCTCCGACTACACCCTTACTTACGCAGATCCTATGAATCCCTCTCAGCACTAACGAAGGTGAAGTCGGAGACGAAGAAGCTCACCCATGAGGGGTGGATCACCAAGACGCAGATGGCGGGTCCGAACTACGCTGGTTCCCCAGAGCACGCCGAGATCTACTCGACGTTCTTGCCGAGCAAGCCTCACGACCACGAGGCCTTCCGCAAGCTCAACGTCATGCTGTACTGGTGGAGCGCAGAGAGCATCCAGAAGTGCGACGGCAAGTCGGAGTCCACGGAGGTGGTGTCCGCGGCGGAGATGTCATCGTCCGCGTACGACCAGGTGCGGCAGGCGATGCTGGACACCGCCGTCGGCGGTGACTCGAGCTTGAGCCGCCAGTTGACAGAGGACGGCAGCAGCAAGCGCAACAAGAAGCACCCGAAGACCGCCGAGCAGAAGGCCGCGGAGCAGAAGCAGAAGGAGGACATCGACAAGCAGCTGACCGTCGAGGAGAGGCGCCGCAAGCAGGCCGTGCAGGAGCTCGACACCATCCTGAAGAGCGCCAAGGCGTGGTGCAAGGACGGTGGCACGTCCTGAACACGTTCCCTCCCCTTCTTCTCCCCTCCACCCTCCTCGAGGCGGAGGCTGGAGGCGACGGCGACGACGACGCGGGCCCATGAATCCCCCGCCTCTCCGTCGACGGCGTCGAGGCGCCGACGACGGAGAGGCGGGGGATTCATGCCCTCGATTCCCTCGTCGATCCTCGGCCAACCGCCCCACCGAAGGAGGTTGGTTCCACGCTCGCGGAGATCCCGAGCATGGCCGAGAAGATGGTCCGCAAGGGGTACCCCGACGCCATGCGGACGTTCCTCGAGCAGAAGGCGAAGACGACCAAGCAGGGCTTGGACACCTTCATCCTGAAGGACTACACGCCCGCGCGCACGCACAAGGACACGCTGAACGACAGCACCCCCGTCGCCGACATCGAGAAGGTCTACGCGGCCCTGAAGAAATCCTTCGACAAGATCAAGGCCCCGTGGAACGGAGGAGGAAGGAATGTCTGGCCATCCCCCCTCGCTCGCCATCATTATCCTCCTCATCCTCTATCCTTCTTCCCCCCTCCCTTCCATATGTCCTTCCGTATTTCCTTTTCCGCCTGCTCCTCCTCCTCCTCCTCCTTCTCCTCCTCCTCATTCTCCCTGCACGCTTGGGCTATTTGTCAAAATGTTGTCCAACATCCTCCTCCTGCTCCTCTTCCTCCTCCTCCTCCTCTTCCTCCTCCTACTCCCGCTCCTCCTTTTCCTCCTGTTCCTCCTCCTCCTCCTCCTGCTCCTCCTCCTCCTTCTCCCAACTCGCGCCTCGAGAGGCCGAGTGCACGGAGTGGAAGAAGAGCAACTTGGACGACATCCGCAAGATGAGCTCGTGATGAGCCCGTGATGCACGCCGCCCTCATGCGAGGGCTCCAACCCCTAGAGACGGCAAGCAAGGGGCATGCCAGGAGGGAGATCTCTATAGAGGGATCGATCGGCTCGCTTGCTCACGGACCTCCCTCCCCCTCCGTTCCTCTCCCCCTCTCCCCCGCTCTGACTCTTCAATCAGCTCCATACCCCTGCGCCCACGGAGGGCCCTCGTCCCCATCACCACCTACCTCCGCAAGGGTGGAGAACGAGGGCATGGGGGAAGGAGGAGGGATGGGGTCGGCAACAATAAAACATGATATTCGTGCGTGTGGCTAAACGTTGCTCAAAGCTCCCTCATAGGTAGCGCCCCTTGGCCGCCGTGCAATGGTGTTGCACGGCGGCGTACGCCAACGCTTGCGCGAAGCTGACGCTGTTCAGCCGCCTGCTCAGCCGCAGGCCCTTTTTTTTCCCTCCCCTCGGCACGTGCTCGGGCTAAAAGTGCCGCTTCCGAGGTGAGCGACACCAAGCGTGCTGGAGGCCGTGGGGTGGATACGTTCCTGCGGCGGAAGTTCTTCAAAGGTAGATTGGCGGCAACTGACGTTGCAGAGGGTGCTGCTGCAATTGCTAGGTCGTGCCCTACAGAATCCAGCTCGGAGATTAAAGACCTTGGCAAATGTAACAGGTACAAAGGTAACGCATATCGAGATGTGATGAGGCGTTTCGACAAACACTGTAGTCTGCCGCCAATATACCAGGCTTATATCCCAGGCTGGTGCCACAAGTCGAACGCGAGTAAGTCATTGCTCGCGTCGTTCCTTCTCCCGCACGAGGTGCTGAATCATTTCGCTGGCGGTTCGCTTGACAAATGGACCAGTTTTAGCCCTGCCCAGGAAAATTTACGGAAAACCCTAGCAGAGTGGGGCGAGAGGGTCGGCATCGACGCGGTGCAGGAGCAATTCTTGGGCATCGGCGTCTGGGGCGACGCGGCGCCCTACTCTCACCGTGATACTCTTTATCTAATGCTTTGGAACTGTTTGACTGGTGAGTATCACGAGAGGTTCTGGTTCGTCGCATTCCCGAAAAGGCTCGGCATAGGGTCCAATGGAAACGTTTACAAGTAAAAGGCGTTCTTCCGTTGCATGGTTCGATATAGTTATGTGTTTCTGTGTAGTGCTATTTCGCATATAATATATTAAGCTTCTATGAGCTGCCACTCGTCTAGCACTGCACACTTATCCCGTTTTCTGCAATCTCGTCTTGAATACGTAATTCCGTCTGCACTCTGGACTATATTATGTAATCTGGAATTTCGTCTGTAATGTGTAAGTTCTGAAATGTCATGTGCAATCTGGAATTTCATCTGTAATCTATAGTTTCGTCTGCAATCTGAAATTCCGTCTGTAATCTGTAATCTTGTCTGTAATATGTAATTTCGTCTGTAATCTGTAATTTCGTCTGTAATCTGTAATTTCGTCTGTAATCTGCAATTTCGTCTGTAATCTGAAATTTCGTCTGTAATCTGGAATTTCGTCTGTAATCTGTCACTTCTGTCCCCCGTCAGATACACGTGTGCCTGCGGATGTCATGGTCGCCATGCCTTCGAAGGCGTCTGGAAGGTCATGCAGTGGGTGCTGGAATCGTGTCTTCAAGGTGTGTTTCCATCTGCTCGGCACGATGGTATCAATTTCGCAGCGTCGCCATTCCAGAATGATAAGTTTCGTAGTGAGCTGGCTGGCGCCCCCATTCTAGGGCGCGCTGCGCGCGCGCAGATGCGCGGCGATTGGTCGTGGATGAAGCAGGCATTCAACCTCACGGGATGGATGGGGAGAGGGTGCTAGGGGTGACGTATGCTGGATTTGCAGTGCCAACAAGACGGACAGGGATTACAGACGGGCGGATTCAGGCGCGCCGTGGCGCACAGAAAGATATAGCCACCAGAGCTTCGTAGATCGCTACCGCGCGGAGGCGCGGTTCCTCAGTTCTATCTTCGAGTGGCCAGGCTTCGTCCTCGACTACGTCGGGGTCGATCTCATGCACTCAGGCGGCCTAGGACCGCTACTTCGCAGTTTTGCGAGGGTGACTGTTTCGGAAGGGGGAGGGCGGCATCGGGGCACTGGGTCGAGTCGACATCGACGTCGACGACGTCGACGTCGTTGTCGATGGCAACGGGGACAGGTTAGTGTGTGATATATTGGCCTCTCGCATCTGCTTGCCCTCTCGGTTTTGAATGAAACTAGCCCGTAGGAGTCGTAGTGTACGCGCTTGGCAACGTCTTTTGGGAGCTCTGGAAGGGCTTCGGAGGCACGGGCACGAAGGGCGAATCCCTTGCGAACCTCAAGGCGGCATCGCAGTTGCTGAACATGATAACTGTAGCAGCTCGGCATAGAGGGTTTGAACCACCACTTAACTCTCTTACTTTAGGCATGGTGAAGGCAGAGAACGCTTACCCCAAGCTCAAGGTCAAGGCCGCGGAGGCCAGGTACATCTTACAAGCGACTGAGTATGTGCTGGAAAATTTCTACCCTAGGGTCAGCGATCACGATAAGCTTAGATTTGCGTGCATCTCTAAACTTGCTCAGGTGTATCGGGTGATCGCTGACTGGACCCCTGGAGGGGCGTCCGCTGCAGCATGCCGTCGCTTAGGAATGCAACATGTCCAACTCTATGCCGAGCTCTCTCGTGAGGCTATAGGAATCAACAGGCACGCAATATGCTGGCGCATGTATCCTAAACATCACCTGTTTCTACACAGCGTCGAGGAAGGTGTTTTGTTCTGGGATTCGCCAACGTGCGGGTGGTGCTACGCAGATGAGTCTCACATTGGCAAGGCGGCCACAAGCTCGCAGAAGTGCCACTGCACCACAATCCACAGTGAGCTTCTGAAGCAAAGCAGGGTATGCGAGATGGTCGAGCTTTCTTTTTAATTTACTACTCACGGATTGCGTATGCTGG